CCCAGAGATTACATGAGGTGGTTTATGAAAAACTTCTTAATCAGAGGGATGAGAACTGAGGTGGGTGTTGGATGTTGTTAGATTCAAATGTTCAATGGCCTTCGACCTTTGGGACCAGTAGGAAAGCTGAGAGGAGGCTAAGACAGAGAGGGAGAAGTCTGGCCTGTTCCCGAGGGGACAAGCCGGAGCAGTAAGAAGTCCTGGCAGGCCCTGCTCTGCTCACACAGCAATGAGGCTGCAAAGAGCTGCTCCCTCTTCGAGGGCAGCTAAGCTCCAGGTCGATTCCAGCTGCCGTTTAGCTGTTAGTGAGCTCAGAGAGTGGACTTGCTCTCAGTCTTAGCCAGTTGTGGAGAAGTGGAGAGGAGGTTTCAGTCTATGACTGGGCATTCTTCCCAGTCGGGTTGATTCCCAGTCAGGGAACCCTATATATTAGATAGTAAAAAGGAGCTGAGAGCAAGACAGAAAAAAAGAAAGAAGCTGGTCCCAAGAAATGAACAGACCTTTTGCAGCACAGCTTCTTAACCACCAGGCCACCTGAGCTCCTGGGTGGGCTTTTTAATGCCATTTTTTTTTTTTGGAAGTAGATCGAACATCAGGCTTTTCTTCCAAGGTCTGCTAGGTGGATTAGAACCTCCAAAGTCTTGGTCAGGTGAGCAAGCTCACCGTTTGCATCCAGGGATAACTGGCACACAGTTGTTTTTAGGTGCCATCAAGCTGGCCAACTCAAAGCGACCTCCCATGGAGCAGTGAGAACACTCCCCGTCGTGCGGCTTCCTAGCCATCACTGCTGTGTCTGAGCCCACTGTTCCAGCCACGTCACCACGCCAATCCATCTGCTGAGGGTCTCCCTCTGTTTTCATGACCCTCTAGCTTCCCCAAGCATGATGTCTTTCTCCAGGGTCTGCACTCTCCTGACAGTAGCTCCAGAGTATGTGAGACCAAGACCCACCATCCTAATTTCTAAGGAATATTCTGACTTTATTTTTTTTCTAAGGCAGATCTGTTGGTTCTTCTGGCAGTTTACGGTATAGTCTATATTCTTCACCAGCACCATAATTCAAAGGTGTCTGTCAGTTCTTTGATCTTCTTAGTCATTGTCCAAGTTCTGCATACTTACAGTAACTGAAAGAAAATAGCATGGCTTCCTTCGGTCAGGCACACCTCAGTCCTCAAAGTGACGTCTTTGCTCTTCAACACTTTACAGAAGTCCTCTGCAGCAGATCTGCCCAATGCAACGTGTCCTTTGATTTCCTGACCTTTCCTCCGGTGGGCATTGATTATGAATCCGACCGAAATGAAATCCTTGGCCACTTCAATCTTTTCTCCTTGAATCACAAAGCTTAGTTGGTCCTGTTGTGAGGATTTTATCCTGAGGTGTAATCCATACTGAAGGTCATTGTCTGTGATCTTTATCACTGAGTGATCTTTTATCAGTCTTCTCCACTTTCACCAAGCAAGGCTGTGCTATCTGGGTATCTCAGGTTGTTGGGGAATGTTCCCTACTGCTGATGCGGCATTCTTCTTAGAGTTCAGCTTCTCAAGTTATTTGCTCAGCATATATACTGAATGCTGTTATTAGGTGCCATTAAGTCGAGTATGACTCAGCGACCCTATGAACAACAGATCTGAATCCTGTGTCATCTTCACCCTCATCTCTGACACGTTTGAGCCCACTGCTGCTGTCACTGTGTCAATCTATCTCATTGGGGGTGGGGGTCTTCCTCTCTTTAACGGACCCATCTTTCCAATCATGATGACCCATTTCAAGGAATGGTCCTCTTAACAGTATGTCCAAAGTATATGAGGCGAAGCTGCACCATTGCCTCTAAGGCGCACTCTGGTTTCTTGAAGAAAGTGCGTGTTTGTTCGCTCTTTTGGAAATCCATAGGATACCCAGTACTCGTCTCTGACATCACAATTCAAAGGTATTAATTCTTCTGTCATCCTCATTCATTGTCCAACTCTCAGATGCATAGCAAGTGATTGAAAAGACTATGGCTTGGATCAGACACACATTAAATAGGTATCATGAAAGGATATAATCTGATGCACACCTTCCCTGGTTTTAAATCATGCACTGTCCCCTTGTTCTGTTCAAAAGGACAGCTTCTTGGTCCACGGACAAGCTCCCCTTACACAGAGTTAAAGTATCCTGGAATCCTCAATCTTTGCAATGTTAACTGTAATTTATTATGATCCACACAGTCGAACGCTTTTGCATAGCCAGTAAAACACAAACATCTTTCTGGCATTGTCTGCACAGTAGGTACTCAATATATGTTTGTAGAATAAGATGAATAACTGAAGCAGTAAAGACTGGAGACTCGGGTCATATTCACCCCACCTGAGTTTAGTAAAAGCGTTGTTAGAGACAATGGGCCAGTCTTTATGAATGAGGACGATAGAGTTCTCGGTGCACAGCAGGGGAGACTCAAGTCAGATCCGCCAAACGTCCCCCAGCGGGTGGAGATGCAAATGGGCTGACTCCACTTCCTCTCCGAGTGGCTTTTTGACAAAACTGACATCTGTCCAGGTTCCCCCCCAACTCAACCCGTGGTCATCACTCTCAGAAGAGAATGTCCGTTTGAGGCCCGTGCTGGCCGGGCTCTGGAGATCTCTTCGCCTCCTCTGCTCCCCAACTTGAGTGTATGCGCACATCCCGGTCTTTGACCTGCTGGTCCCAGTGCCCTCCTCCCCTAACAGCCTCAGGTCTCCGACGACCTCAAGCCCAGCCTGGCCATCCGGCGAGGGACGACTTCGTGTCCGTGGGGCCCGGGGGTCGTCACTTCCCGCCCTCTCTCTCTTGTCTGGAAGTCCCACCCAGTATCTAAGCTTTCGGCCTCCTGATGCTCCCAGTGCGCCGCCGCCGGCCCGCCCTCCAGTCCGGCCCCGGGGAGTCAGCCGTGGGGCCCCGGGGGGTCAGCGCTCACCTCGGGGAGTCCACACTTGCCCTTATCCGCATACGGGGACAGCCCCGCCGCGTAATTCACCGACATCCTCGCCTCCGCGACTGGCACGAGGAACAATAAAGTTTCTCTTGTTGAGGCTGCTTCCGCCGGAAGTGGGGCGGGACAGGGCGGAAGGGGGAGCTGAATGATGTTTTCACTCGTTCGCGTTCTTCCCCCAAGGCGCATGCGCCAGCTTCCTGCATGGGCGCCATCTTAAGTGCTGGCAGAGGGAATCACACCACTTTCCTTCCTAAGGCGCATGCACCGGCTGACTGCATGGGCGCCATCTCAAGTACTGGCAGAGAGGATCCCGCCCACTTTGAAGGGGCCTGGCCTCCACTTGAGAGTTCTTCAGTCATTCTTGGAGCGAGTTGCTTAGGGTGTCAATGCCAGTGTAACTTTTTTTTTTAAATTTTATTTTATTAATTTTAATGAACCTTTACAGATATTTTGGATTTTCATT